TTTAATTGTACTAAAAAAGTCAAGAAAAACTAACTAAAAACAACATAAAAAAGGGAGTTATAATTGAATAAAAAAAATAAAAAATTTATATTCTGCCCACCGTGGGACTCGAACCCATGACTTTGCGGCTCGTTAATCCGCATTACTGCTATCTGTCAAGGCACAATTTTGATCAGACCAATTGCGTCGTTTATTCGGATCAATGTTGCCGTCTGTCTATGCTTTAAGACAAAACTTCGACAGCTGTAAAAAGAAAACAATCAAAGCAACACTGAAGAAAGTCATCATCGACACCAACAGCTTGACTTTGCCAATTGTTCATGCAGATTTTATTCATTTATACATTCAAGCGACGGTGAAATCTTTTTGCTCTCATTGTTCTACACAGCTTCTGACTCGTCTTGCACTCGTTTTTACAGCTTATTTTACGATGAAAGCAAAAAAGTGAAAAAAATTAAGAGATATGTAGATGTTTTGGTTGTTGTCTGCAAAAGTCATTGGAATATTTATTAGCGTTACGCAAACGATGTTCTCCTTTGCACTCATAAAGCGAAATAAAACACCGGGATATCACCAATTCACAATACTCAAGGGATGCAAGTTTTATTCTTGCCCTGCTGATAAATGAGCTTTTTCTGCCATGCTTGGTGCTGGGCTAAAGTACATGCAGGCCTTTTTGCTATTTGTACTTCGATCCAATAAATGTCAAAAACACACGCAAAATGCACAATCGAAGGAACGAAATGTTTTTGCAGGAATGAATTGACAGCTACTAAAAATTTACTCTGAGGAATGAATAGAAATTTCAAATGTCGATGGTGATTAAAATTATCTAAACAATTTGTACTTAAGGTTTTCATTGTCATATGCAGATTTACATTGCGATTGCCTTTAGTTGGGAATAGTTTCCTGAATAAATGTATGCAAATCCAAAAACGATTCTAGAGGTATTAATAAAACGTGGTAAACTGCCGATAAATGTCACAAATAGATAAGTTCCATTTAAATTTATAAATTCCATATAAATGTTTAATCTTATCGCGTTCTAACATTTAATGAATACCCCTGCTATTTTTTTATTTTTTTTTTAATTAAGTGACCGAGATATGACAAGTTTATATCATTACTAAAATAAATTATTTCCTAGATTTTTAAGATATTTAAAGTTAAAAAAACAAACTAGGCAAAACAAGTTATAAAATAAAGTTTTCACCAATACCGATATTTTAAAGCGATATAAGGAGGTAATTAAAAAGAACCTTGTATGGGAATAAACCATCAAAATGTTGTTTACGAAATACGTTATATGTAGTTATAAATTTGTCCTATGACTTGAAGGTATGCGCTTAGAATATCCGCATAGAGAAGCTGCCTTTGCCTAGCTGGCTGATGTGCTCGGGAAGACTTAGGCTGTCATCACCGCCATCCAATAAATACGTTGCATACGGAAAATGCGAAGAAGCTTGCGACTTTGCGGTGAGAGGGAGACTCCGTCGCAGAGTACTCTTGTTCACCGCGGTGAGAGAGTTTCTCGCCACGATCCGCATCAAAGCGAAATTCTAAAAAATCTCGTTTATTTTCGCCCACACCACGACGACGAAAGAAAAGGACGAAGTGTCCAAGGTTCGAGCGCTGCTAGCGTCACGATATCAAAATCAAAATGAGAGATGTTGTGGTTTTGATAGACCGAAGCGACGCATGCAGTGATTTAGACATACGAACACTACGAAGGCCAAAGATGAACTCGGAACACTATCTTGTTGTAGCCGAGGTACGCACACGCCTTCGTGCAGCAAAAGAGTGGGCCTTCAGAAATGAAATGAAGGTTTCAATCGGGTCATTCCAGCGAAGATGGCACCACACCAACTCTCAGAAAGCACGCCTTAACAAACCGAGTAGAAGCTGAAAAAAGAAACGAGACGTATTTTACGCATTAAAAAGAGTAAGACCGAAACACGAGAGTGCGTAGAACTGAAAATCATCCATCAGGAAAAACGCCCGACATTTTCAGCACGAAGTTCGACGACTTAGCGAAGGTCTCAAGACCTACATGAACTCCTCCAAAAACAATGACGCTTCAACGACCTATTGATCGATATCCGGAACTTACTTAACGGGGAGGACTTGATAAAGTTTAAGCAGAATATGCTAAGATGAACGTTTCATCCCCAAGAAAAACGATCAGCCTTCTAATTACCGGCTACAAGGACTTATCGGGCGCATTGTCTGAATACTTAAGCCTGGTAAAGCCACCATTGGAAAGGTACTCACCATATACCTCATCTTGAAAAAAAGCTGTCAAGTAGGATCGAACTAGAAAAAAAAAAATACAAATGGTAGAAGTAAAGCTGCTACTTCAGAGATCACCACATCTCCTCATCAAACTCATGCTCACGGGAAATTAGTCATAAAACTAACTAACTAACACAGACAGTGCTCTAGTTAAATTAGCAAAAAATAAGTTTGGAGTTAGGTTGATAGTGAAAAATTAAAAATTCAAAACACCACAAGTTTACACCGGCGAACTTAACTCGCTTGGTGCTTATTCGCAGATTCTAATGTACCTTCAATGACGTGTCTAAAACGATAATTGATCATGGATACATACTTACACTTACTTGTTTGAAAGTACATACATACATATGTATATATGTACATTGATATGTGCCTGTGAGCATAACCAGTTTATGGTGTTTTAATTTTTCGTATTCTTGCTTTTAATATTTTTTGGCTCGCAGGTAAACAAACTGTAATTAAATAAACATTAAAAATAAAAGCTTCAACACATTCAATCACGTTAATTGATCCAGAAGCCAAATAGTTAAGCTAATAATACATCGCTTTAAATGGTTGTTTGATATTGTGTGAGTGTTAAACATCACGAGATTACAAATCATGTTGTGAACCAAAATATTTTGCCTTTAATAAAACATTTTATAACTCTTATTGTTAAGCAAAACGAACTCATAACAACAAATACGGTGACCTCTTTTAGCTGGAGATATGCAAATAAATATGCATGCATTTAGGAATATTTAAGTTCTTTTTAGGGCCTAAACGAAACTATTGCCAAACAGTGGTATTCAAGTATATTGCTTATAATTTTATTTGTACCCAAATTAAACCAAAATACTATTCTTGTCATCAGGGAAGTATGTTAAAATTTAGTCAACATCTTGTTCGTCTAACATTTTAACCCTTTTAATCCTAAAATAAAAAAGGTTGAGACATTTAAAAGAAATTAGATTCCTTTTGATGCCTATTTAAAGAATTTAGTTACAAAATGGCAGTTGGATGACTAAAACTTTTAACATAAGTGCTAAGCAGGGAAGAATATAACTAGTTATAAGTATTAATTTCATACTTGTCTATTTATCCATTCTTATATTTTCCTCTCTTACTTCACGAAACCAAGCTTTTAATAGCCTTAGATTTAAGCACTATTTCTATACAGAAAGTACCACAATATTCTTTTTAAAAAGTTGACTTTCTTAACAGAAAAAATGTAACATCCGCAGCGGACTTACACAATGATGTTAATCTAACCTTCAGTTTGCTTTTATAATAATATTTCCTTCTAAGGCCGGGGCCACGCAATGTGCGGCGAGCGGCTGAACGGCTTTATTAAAACATATCGTCACCTGAAACGCAAAAAGACGTAACAACATCGTAACTGAAATGGAAAAAGTCGTGACTAATATTTTGTTTTTTTCCCATAAAATGATGTGGGATTTGTAATTCAATAAAATCCATCATAACAAACAAAAACTGAATTTTGAATTTTTTATTAGTACGACTTTTTCAATTTCAGCGACGATGTTTGTTACGTATTTTTGCATTTCAGGTGCCGATATGAAATACTATTGAAGTGCCATGCTCTGAGCAGCATTTCTGAGCGGCATTTTTGTATGGCGCCGCTCAGCCGCTCAGCCTTAGGTCAAGGCCACGCAAAGAGCGGCTGAGCGGCACCATACAAAAATGCCGCTTAGTCGCTCAGAAATGCCGCTCAGAGCATGGCCGCTTCAATAGTATCTCATATGTTTTAATTAAGCAGCTCAGCCGCTCGCCGCTTTGCCGCTCTTTGCGTGGCCTCGGCCTAAAGCGTCAAAAGTTTCCGGTTGGTTTAACTAAAGTAAAGCCTAAATCGAATGTCATCAAGTGACTCCAGAGAAGATATTCTAGAGGCGTTAGATCGCTTGATATTGGTTGACATTTAAAACTAAATCATGATTTTCGAGATGAATATGCACGATTTACAGATTTAACCAAGTTGTGACTGTTGAATGTATATCAGGAAATCTGACTTAAAAGCAACACCATAACCATGGAGGCAGAAGTTGCAGGTTTAAATATTCTGTGAAAAAATAACCCGCTTAATTTTCCTATAGGCGCCTATAGGCATAAATTATGTTATGTCTTTTTTTCATAAAATTCGTTAGTGGATGCAGTTGAATTAGAGCTCAAAATGAGTACTACGTTCGATTGCATGGTGGTCGATTATTTTTGAATACCGTGTGGCTGGTCGCTAGGAACATAAAACTTTGTTTGCGGATCACTGGGGTTGTGGAATCGCCGCCACCTTAAAAACAAGGACATACATCAACTTTTCTAGTATATACTGGTTTACCAAATATATCCACTCGTGCGCCACCTATCGGCACAATTTTTTGTGGAGTTATTCTTTTTCATGTAGTTAATATAGTACGTTCTGAAAATGAACCAAATCGGACCATAAATACGGGTTTTCCAATATTTCGACTCCTGCATCACCTATCGGATTAACTCATCTTTCGTATTGCATTGTCATCGCGTTCAGAGCCAACTTTGAAGTTTCAAGTTTCTAGGTCATCGATTAGTCAAAAATGTATTGCAATATTTGCCCCCAAATTGTAAAAATTAAAACTTGTATACATACTTTGACACAACAATAGATTATTTTATTTTAAAAACTTTGTTGATATCTATTTAGATTTCTTAATTATGTCAGCCATCTCAAACTCTTAGCCATAGTAACCGCGTCCATGGCCTTGATGACCATGATGGCCATGATGACCATGATGACCATGATGTCCGAATCCGCCGTAGCCACCATAACCGCCCCGACCTCCATATCCTCCATAACCGCCATATCCACCATATCCTCCGTAGCCTCCGTAGCCGCCATATCCACCGTATCCTCCGTAGCCACGTGCTTGCCTTGGGGATTCATTGCCATGCTCTACACCAGCGTCGACATCCAATAGAATTACTGCCTGATCAGATTTATCAACATTTTCTTCCTCAGCTATTGGAGCTGCGTGTGCAAAATTGAGGCATATAATAAGAGCCACAATCAATATTAAAAGTACAGCACGCATTTTGATTGTTGTAATATATTTACTAAAATAATCTAAAGTGATTACCACACGTCGGAGACTGGTATTGAATTGAGTTCCAGTATAATGGCGAGGATCTTTTATACTTGAAAATATTTGATACGATCACTTTAGAATTTTCTCATCTCCTTACACAAACATTTTTTATCAAATGATTTGCAATTCTATGCAGTAAAAAGTGCGAAGATAAAACATGCTTAAATGCTTAATATACTATAAATGTTATAAATTAATAGGCGAAAAGCTATGATGTGAGTAAATTAATCGCCGCGGGCAACGAACTTGGCAATTTTTGCATTTGTTGATTAATGGTCGGTAAGTGATCAGGGATCAAAAGAGTTTTTTGATCGAGTACTCTGTTTTGCTGTAAATTAA